GACAAAATCTTCATACATGGCGTGCCAGAATATCTTTCTAAGGATGTTCAAGAGACCGGAAAGCACGTTTTAAAACAGTGGCGGTTCATTCGTGTAACACATATCTTGGATAATATCTTACCGTTATCTCTCACCAGGATAAATCTCACACCAATGTATAGAGGATGCGGCCCTAGAATCCTAAAACTTGTGATTCAGTCAGAGCAACAAGTAAAGGATGTTTTGGGTCGATAATGGAGAAATCGGAAAAGTCTTCCTTCTGAAACTCGGTTAAAGCTCGCAGAAGTTTTGCATAGTTCAAATATTAAAGCATCTGAAGCAACAAGCATACCGACAAATGTACAGAAGCGTAACTTGTCTGCTGCTTTAACTGACTCTGACATGGGTCTAAACGAAGATTGGGACGTGCCTATGCCGAATAAAGTTGTAAACGAGGTATCATTATCCCATTAAAAAACCAGTAACTGCCGACCTCACATCGGTCGGCAATCTCCAACAATTGACCCCTTCACCCCTCTGTGGGCTCCTAGAGACCGAGAAACTGGCCTGTTTGTATACCAATGCTTAGCGTCTTTTTAATAAACTAGCCGAATTGAAAGATCGTCAAGTTTCCTGGTCATATGTCATGGGTAGCACCGAGACGTGATTGCACACGGGAATGACGAACGCTGAAGTTTCGCTACCCGGTTTGTCGCTGATCCGGAACGACAGTCTCACAAAAGGAGGAGGGGTAATCCTGTATAACCAAAGCGACTTACAGTACGAAGCCGTGGAGGATTCAGGCTAGCGGTTCTCCGAATCTCTGGTGCCGCCTGCACTTAAAAAGCAGGGACGCTTGCCTTAATGTTTTCGTGTACCGCCCCCCCCCAACTATACACCCGAAAACGACTAGCAGCTGCTTTAAGAAGCTGTTTACTAGGAAAGTACACATATTTATCATGAGTGGATTTCAGCGTACATTGTGTAGAAACACCTGCTAAGATCAGAGAACAAATCAAAGACGCTCTAAAGGATCTCGTAAGCACTGTTCCTCTTTACAGTCATAACACTTGGCTACGCGTTTCAGAACAGGTAACAGGCCATCTGTGTTGGATCTTGTGCTTAACAATGAGGAGCATATGATTGATGTGTTGGTTTTAGACTGTCCATTTGGTCGCATTGATCCCGTAGTGATCAGTTTTAACTTCGTCTGCTATGCAGAATATCTGAATGAGAACGGCGAGACTGTGCGAAACCACCATAAGGTAGGATCGATTAGCCCAGCTCGTCAGTGCCACAACTTGGTAGTTCCTTGACGAAGAATCCCCAAAAGTCGCCTGGCTCGAATTCGTCAACTAATTCAGTAAGCTGATTGCGGAGGCTTCATAGAAAAGAGATTGCCATAAGTGTACATCAGTTTCTTTCGTTAGGAGCAGAACTCGAAAATGGATGACAGTACGCAACGCAGTATGGCGAGTGTACCTACAAGCTTCAGCACCAGAAACTTGGAACAACTACGTAGCCCAACGTAACCACTGCACTCAACTGTTAAGAGAAGACAAAGCCGTCTATCAGCAGTACATCACAAAAACCTTCAGTGCTAATCACAAACTGCTGTACCATCGGGTCAATAACCTAAGAAAGGTGTGGCAAGGATTTTCTTCACTCAGGATGGATGATGATCCCACAAAAGCGACTGTTGAAGCAGCAAATGCGATGCGGTTGCAATATGTCCCTAGGTTTCAGAGGGTCTTACCACCAGGCGATCTACCAAGCTTTGTCTTCTCCTCGCCAGGACTAACGTACATCACTTTTACTGCGGTTGATGTGTTGCGAAAGCTGACGTCGCTACGCAAACACAGCTCTCCAGGTGTCGAGACCATCCGTCCAGAGGCACTGGAAGCAGCAGCAATCAAATTGGCAGGATCCTTATCACAATTTTTCCAGCGCTGCTTATACCGGAATCAAGTTCCCGCTATGCGGAAGATTGGAATAATAACCCCGATTCACAAAAATGGAAGCAGAACTGATCCTTCCAACTACCACCCAGTATACCTTCTTCCTATACTCTCCAAGGTTATGGAATCCACAGTTGCCGATGCACTGGTGTGCTATCTAGAAAACTGCAACAGCATAAGGCCTGAGCAGCACGGTTTCCGTTGACAGCGGTCATGTACAACTAAGTTACTAACGACAAGCAGTATTTGGACCGAGACAGCTGACGCTGGAGAAGGCGTTGGTGTGATCTACCTGGATTTGTCTAAGGCTTTTGATAGTCTAAACCATCGGATACTACTCTCCAAGCTTCAGCAGTACAGAATCAGTGACCCTCTTTTAAGCTGGATTGCCAACTTCTACTTCAACGGTAATTAGTGGTCCGATTTCGGAGCTCTTTATCGGACCCCATACAAGTTGAGTGTGGTGTGCCGCAAGGCTCAGTTCTCGGTCCACGTATATTTTGGTGTTTATTAATGACCTTGCACAGGGAATCGCTTCAAACTTCCTAATGTTTGCGGACGATATCAAGATCTGGCGCAGGATCCAGGCGAACGCCGACCAACGTGTGCTTCAGAGTGATCTAGACCAGGTACAACAGTTGTCAACCCAAAAGTTACGGCATTTCAAGGTCAGTGAATGCAAGGTGCTTTTCATCCGATGTCAGAGCAGCTACTCATACCGACTCGGAACAAATATATTACAACAATCAACTCTGGATCGTGACATGGGTCCTGGTTCAAGATGACTCGGCTTGCTCAAGGCAATCCAAAAACGCCTTGAAGACTAGGAGCCAACACGTCGCGCCGTTGTGAAGACCGTTTGGACAAATAAACAGCTCATATTTCGACAAATGCTCAGTGCGTATGTTCGCCCCCATGTCGAATACGCAGTTCAGGCCTGACATGCATGACTGAAACACGACTTTAATGCACTGGAGCAGCCACGACTTCGAGCCTCTATGACCGTAATTGGAATGTGCAATCTTTCATACCAGTAGAGGCTGCAACGACTGTGGGGTATTCAGTGGAAACTATTGTAAAATACGAGACAACCTGATTATGGCATACTTGATTCTGCGAGACCCACGTCACGTGTACCGCCCTTTACAACAACTCAGCAGCAATACAAACCTGAGGGTCCACTCATTAAAACTCGCAGAACAATACAGTCGTCTGGAGTGCCGCAGAAATTGTTTTTCCATTCGTGCCAGTCTCCCGTGGAATAGTGTCCCAGAATCGGGAGTCTCTGCACCGACATTAACAGTAGTTAAAAGACGGTTGGATGACGCACTCATCCACTTATACTTTGTCACTTAGCACTACGTCTCCATCCTACACCTGGAGTTTACCATGGAAGCATTTGATGTTAGCTGTGAATGCTGTGAACCAAAGCGGATTGCAAGACTACGGCGGAGCAAACGATAAGTCCTTATTTTCATATTTAAAGTACTAACTGTTTTACTATCATTATTACCATTATTGTTAAATCGATATCCCCGCCAATTACTTAACACGACCAGTAAAGTAACGCTTCCTAACCCATCTAAATTCATGGTTTATTTTTCAGTTTAGTCTATGTCTATCACTAATAACAATAAAACAAGACATGACAAGTAGTTGTAGTGGCATATTTCAGATTACCTTCTAATTTGTGAGGGCACTTCTCCCATGGTGTTGCCATAACTACTAGCCATTAGCACGTCACGTAGAGTTAACTGAAACTCTTATCGCATGGCGAACCTACCCAGTATAGAATCTGTGGTTCTCTAACTTAGCCTACTGATGAATCAACTTTGAGTAGTACTTAACCTCATTTACGAAACCGTGTCGCTATTTTCTTAGCTATTCGGAAGTTTCACGGCTAATTATTTACATTTGCTGCAGTTCACAAAACTGTACAAAGAAGACCGAAGTCTTGTATATAAGCAGTGAGGAATATTCTCACCCTGCAACGGACACGTACTCAATCTACAAGGTAGCGGTTGTCATCCGTATATATATATATATATATATATATATATATATATATATGTACAAATGGTTTTCTACCTGTGGCAATTGCACTTGTTGCGGCAAGACGTGGCTGTGTCAGGTTCTGTAAATACCACAAGTGCGGAGGCTCGGATGCACGGCCGCTGCACGTTGCCATACTGAGAGCAGCATAAGCGGATCAGTGACAACCGGTACCTTGAAGATGGAGTACAACGTGTCCGATGGAGGTTGGGAATTTTCGTCATTGCTAACATACAGCCCTTCGCTCTTCTTTGTACAGGCTTGTGAACAGCAGCATATATCAGCATCCGAATATTATATATATATATATATATATATCCGATTAGAGGAGTTGCATACATTTAGAACGGATAGGTTCTAGTGGTAGAATGACGTGAAATGAAGTATACTTCCTCTGGTTGTATCCTGTCGTCCTCAAATCTGCAGGAGATATTGTTCTCGGATATTATGTCTTTTTGGGGCGTCATAGGCAAAGTCCATAAATGGACTTTGGGCTAATAACTGCAGCTTGTCTGGTTTTAGTTTGCAATAATCATGCTAGATTAGTGGGGAGATATGTCATGATCCACCGACAGACGATCATTAGCTTTTATCTGTCAAACATATGCTGAGAGTCCTATTCTAGCAACTATCTGAAGGGAGGTTTCAATTTCATTAACGTCTTATATTTCACTCTCCTCGTGTAACATGATCTATTTGGCACAAAAATGCGAATCTGACGGGAAATCGGAAGAGAGAATAAATAGCATAAAATTCATTGTTTTGACGGTACCGTATCCACAAAATGATGAATTTATTTTCAATAAGCAACCACATGACGCAGAGTGCTGAATTAGAGTGTGCGAAGCAAGCGGCCAACAGGTTTGGAAATTTTTATTCCACTACCTTAAAGTCTTTAACTGAAGGATAATGGGCTTCGCTTCCAATAAAAAGTGAAGAGTGTAGCCACAATTTGCACACAAAATGAACTATTACCTGTTTTAAAAACTTTCATCATCTCCTCCAACTCACCTAGCCCATTGTGAGTCTGGCTATCTTGGTCTTCCATCGAGGCAGAAACGTTTAATCAACTCCCTACCCTGCGCGATAGCCTGGGCAGCGCAGTCGTCGCTCTGCTAAGCGGAACTAAAACTGACCAAACTGTTAACACTCCCACCCACATCTCCATTTCTCATTGGCTCGCAAAAACCAGCCATTAGTTGGCCTCGCCAGAGCAAGACATGGGAAAGGCTGACTACTTCAGAATCCGGAACTAATGGCTTGTACAAGTATAGTTAGTTGAGTGAAGCTGATACGGAATAGATCGACTCCTGGTCCTGTAAAATGCACATAACCATTGGTAGATGCCATCCATATTTTGTCTACCTAACAACGCTGTGGTCAGATAGGTTTGTGCAGACGGAGCTTGCCGTTTATATCTGCACTCAGGACACAAGGAGTCGAGTCAAAACTAATTTTTGTGCTCAAACATCGATGAAACAGGGTCATGATTAGGCTTATGCTGACGTCCAAACTTCACCAGATCCTGTGGCAATAAAGTAGTTGGTAACCTCTTCGGCAGCTGACAATTTGAAAATGCACACTGTGTCACGCGAAAATCATGTTAAACGTAGAAGTCCATAACGGTAGGTTGCAGCAGTATGATAGAAATGCCAGACCTAAGACAGATAGCGGCCTCAGGTCGGTTATTGTTGGTTGTATTGACAAGAGCACTTTGTGTTAGATTTCTTCGTTCATTGGAATTATTTCATGGAAATTTAGATACCATTCAGTTTCATTTCTGATTCTGAATTTTTCAACCTTAAATACTTAAGTCTTCACCGTTTGGTTTCGGCGATCTTGCTATCGCCATTTCTCCAGCAATTGGTCGCCATTTGTTTTTGGATTACTTACAATGCCCAAGTAATAACCCTGTGGTGCTTGTTCCAAGATAATCGGATATAGTGCAAATGCCCTCAGGTGTGTGTTGTGCCAGGTTAAATACCACACTTCATCTGTTGCATTATCCCTTGAGCATTTTCATCGTCCTCGTGAAACCCATCAAGATTTCGTTCAAACTTTAAGTGAAAACTGCCGGGACAAGAAGAGCCTTCAGGTTTCAGCTCAGTCTTCCTTCCCTACCCATGCAAACTCACCGGCACGAAGTCCAACCGTTGTGAGAAGCGCAGTTTCACCTGGCGTAAATTATCTGCCTTAGTTGTGTCCAACGAGCACTGATGTCCCAGCAGGGGAAGCCTGAGTGTTGAAGACCTGTGGGAAGAACAAAAAACTAAATTACGTAAGGATGGTATGCGTTTAACATCCGTAAGTCAACAGTTAGCCAAACCACGTGAGACTCGTAGTATATTTCCTCATGCAAGATCAACCTCGTCTGACCAGAAATGTTATAACCTTGTGATTTTCCACGCGCCGAAACCCAGAGATCCATCACTCCCCGATGCTCTAGGATCATGATGTAGATTTTTTACGGAGTCTAATTAACAGGCTCCTCGACGCTGGTGTGGATTCCGTAAAAATAAAACAAACTATCCATCTTGGAAAGCAAGGTAATCACTAAAATCGGCCTATGAGGATCACTTTTTGCATGAATCCAGTCCAAGACTTATCTCCTCCCGCCTAAGTAGACTGAAATGTTTGAAGATCCATGTTTTATCCAGATCTGGACCTAGTGTACACCGGGAACAGATCAAGTCTGGAATCCTTGAGTTGAAAAGACCCACTGGTAGAGGGGAAACTAATCTCACTATGGTAAGTTTTGGTGGTTTCAAGAATCTGAACATCGGGATAAACAGGTTGCTCACACTTCAAGTACGCCCGGCAGTTCATGCTGCGGCATACGAGTAGCCTTCAATAATGTTTGCAGTGTTATAAACAAGCGCGATGAGCTTTGTTGTTTCGTTGCGTCCGAGTGGCCAAACATAGTGGGACTCGTAGAGACATAACTGCATTCAGAGTTATACACACAGGAACTTAAACTCAACGGTCACTTGTGCTTCTGCTGCAATGGACTAACGGATGCCTGCGGTGATGTCTTAGTCTACACCCGGTCTTCCCTGGGTGGGAGACTTGTGAGCACCTACTGAAGTGACGACGGTTTGTGTGAGCTACTGTGGTGCTCCATTCACCTCAGGAGTGTGGAACTACTTGTGAGTGCAGTCTATCGCGGCCCCCTGGTTAGTCGTTTGTATTGGCTGCCCCATCTTCGGACCCACTTTCTGCTTATGGGTTCTTTTAACTGAATTCGAATCCTTTGGTCTGATGTGCATTTGATGCTCGGACATGGTGAGGTTGAATCAAAGTTCGTGGATTTGGCACTTGAAAGTGGTGCTTCGCAACAAATATGCTAGCCAACACGCATAACACCAGGCTCACCACCATCCTGTCTCGACCCGATGTTAACGAGCTACGAACAACGAGTGCGTGACGCTCGGATCCTGGGGCCCCTGACTAGAAGAGACCACTAAATGATCATAGCTAATATGGAATTACCTTTGTCTTATTCGCGTCCGCTGCAACCAGCTCGCAACTACTGGAAAACGGGCTTCGATGGTCTAGGTGGAGCTGCGAGCTAACTGGATTGGTCTCTGTTACGAGTTGCGTCTGTGGAAGACTATTGAACATATATAAAAGGGAGATTGACATCATTGCATTCTCAATTAGTGCCCTTGAAATGTCGGAAGGTTGGAGCGATTACGCCTCATTGGTTTGACAAGAAGTGTGGAAATCTGGCTAGGAGGCGGCGCAGAATGTGGGACAAATGCCTCCTCTCTGGCTCTGCCAATGACCACGATGGATCTAAACGTCAGCAGCACCTCTGCAACTCTGTAAAAGGAACAAGCGCCGATATTTCGAAGAGCAGCTTGCAATCGTTACGATTACTGCCCCAAAGAGAATCTCTGCTTACGTGGAGCGACGCCTGAAGCCGGCAGGTGATGTGCCGGTGCTAGATGGCCTGGACGGACAGCCCCTAACCACCGACCCTGAGTATGCGTCTGCGTTGTCGGCACACTTCGCTTCTGTATTTGCAAATGACCAGGTGTCTGTTCTGAGTTCCACGTCTATCACTTTTACCGAATTCTACAGTCTGGATTGCGGAGTTGAAGAAATATGTCAACTACTAGCCAGCCTTGACAGCACCAAAACTGCCTGACATGATGGGCTTCACCTACTGATTCTCAAGTCACTTTCGGCCACCATCTCTCTGGTAGTGAGTGAACTGTTCCACATGTCGCTGTCCGGAAGTCCGTCGCCGAAAGACTAAAAATGTTCGGTGGTAAAGCCAAAATCCGAAAGGCGGCGACCCTAGCAAATTGGACAACTACAGGCCAATTTGTCTGACACCAATTTTGTCAAAGGTTGTTGGGAAAAACGTTAAAAAGGGATTATTGCAGTTATCGCAGTCAAAGGAGGTCGTGACGCGCGCACAGCACGGTTTTACGCAAGGTCGATCTTGCACTATAAACCTGCTTTTGACGAGGCGTGAGTGGTTGAAGGCAATAAGCAAGGGAAAGTCTGTCGACGTGATATTCATCGATTTCAGTAAAATGTTCTACAAGGGTGTCGGTAGCTCACTGCACCGGTCGGTCCGCGACTTTCTTGTTGGATGAAAGTGGATGGTACAAATCGACGCGCATCTAACTGTCTGGTAACCCTCTAAAAATGGCTTGCCTTAAGACACTGTGCTTGGACCCACTCTGGTCCTGGTCCACATCAACGATCTACTGCAGCTTCGCCGGTCGCCGTATGCCTTGTTTGCGGACGACATAAAGCTTTGGAGAGAAATTGCCGCTCCCGATGACTATGGCCTACTTCAGCAAGACTTCAAAGGCCCATCCACATGGTCTGCAGAAGTTCTTCTCCCGCTCAACCCATCCAAGTCCGCATTTATGAGCCAGGGGAAGGGTGCTGACGGCTGAATATACACTCCTAACGGCCAACCGCTATATCCCACGCCGTCGGTGAAGGACCTAGTGATACTCTCGCGCTACGATTTGATGTCCGTGAACAACGCTAGCAGGCTATATCGTAACGGACTGCACACGCTTCGGGCACTCTAACGTATCCTCGGCACGTGGTCTGAAGAGGTTGCCACTAGCCTCTTCTCTTCCATCATTAGCCCAACGCTAGAGTACAATTCGGCCACCTACTTCCCGAGTACCCAAGGTGAAGAACAAAAGACTGAACGGCTCCAAAACGTTGTTCTCAGACTCATCCCGGGTTTACGTGGCATGGGGTATGAAGACCTGAGAGAGAAACTAGGACTTTTCACCTTGTCCTACGGTCAGGAGCGAGTCGACCACATTATGACCTACCGTATTCTACATCGCGCTTACTTCCCCATGGGGAGGCCCATGCTGCAGTTTCGAGGGTTATGCAGCACACGTGGACACAGATACAAACTTGTCGTGCCGGATGTGAAACGTGATCCCCACCCACTGTGCTTCGGAGTGGTAAAGATCTGGAACAGTTTGCGTGAACATGTGATGGAGGCAACATCTTTGCAGCCGTTCAAAACACTTTTAGATTTAGATTTTACCACTATTAGATTCAGAGAACGATTGCACACTTAAGACGAAATCTCGCACTTGTGAGTCCTGCAATACCGTGAGTCAGATATTTTTAATCTTATATGAGAACGATGACGATATTCACGGTTGACAATTTTTATAACGTTTTTCGCCACATTTCGTAAGAGTTGTACAGAATTCATTTCTACTTGCTCTATAATACAGCATTCAGTATTCAGTGTAAGGGGTCTGTGTGGAGAATGGTGGAACCAAATAGTGGTGAAACAATTCCTGACGACTGCAGTAAGCAACGTGTCCCTCTCTCTGTGACGAGTAAAAAGCAATATTGGAGGACATTGGGCCCAGTGGAACCGCTTAACACTGGTTTAGTGCCCCATGAGAAGTTGATGCATAACAAGTCCATAGATGAGGTGTATGAAATGGAAAAAACAATTCACAAATAAACAACCCATTGGTATACTCGCCTTGGACTTCGTTAATATAAAAGTCAGATTGAAATGAAGAATAACACTTTATGCACCCAGAAAGGGTAAATCCATAGCTGCAACAGAAATATCACCCAAATCCTAACAAGGGGTT